GGCCTCCCAGCGCCGGGAGGGCGGGAGTGCGTCCGTCCCTGCTCCGTCCCGGCCCCGGGCCGCGCCGCCGCCCAGACGTCCCTGGGTTGTTAGAAACCTCCGCTCCGGCCCAGTTTCCTCCAGCCTAAGGGATCACAACAGCGCCTGCCTCGTGGGGCGGTCAGGAGGGTAAATGAGTTAATTCCTGTAAAGTACTTAGAACGCTGTCTGACACAGGGTGGGTGCTCTCCAAGTGGTAGCGATGACTGTTGTTAATGTATTTCCTCCTCCACCAGCATGTAGAGCTTCCTGAAAACATGGGCCTTGTACGATTTGCTCACCACTCTTATTTCTAACAACAAAACAGCCTGAACATAGTGAATGAATATCTGCTGAATGAATGAATGAATGAATGAACGAACGAACGCACGAAAGAACTAATCAATCAGTCCTGCAGCCATCGGACTGACAAAGCCGGGCTTGAGGAGCCGACGTGCTGGTGTTTCCTGACACTGAAATGTGTTGTTGAGCAGCTAGCTAATCACCGACCCAGCGGGCCAAAAATCCATATTTGCAGGGTACAGAGAGCTGCAGGAGACCAGTCACAGAGGTGACACCTACTGATTGTCTGACACTGGGCTAAAAGCCTTACAGTGATGATCTCATGTCCTTAATGAAGTAGGCATTATTAATTTCTCCATTTCGCAGATGAGTGACAGGCAAAAAGAAGTGAATGACTTATCCCAAATTCCATGGGAGTAAAAACTGAGCAAGGATAAGAACACAGAATTCAACAACACAGTTAATTTTATACATGTATAAAATTAAGTTCTACTGATTGATTAGTTTATGGAACATTTGTGTTCTGCTTTAAACAATCTAAGAGTAAAAATGTGTATTAACAAAAAGGGAAAAAAGATAATTCAGAAACAATTACTTTATGAAAGGATTTACCATAGGATTCTTAAAATGGCAAGCTCCACGTGTGCACATTATTCCATCTAGAAACATTTGTTCTCCCTGGAACTTTCTGAGAAGTCTATTTCACATGTGAGAGGCACCTGTATGTAAATAATTATTCCATAAATATCTGCATCAGGGCTAATTCTAAATTCCTTGCATTGTTTAGATTGATTACAATTAAGAAATATCAAAGTCATGTGTTTTTCAAGGAACTGTTAATTACTTCATTTGTATTTATTAAATATTAATTTATTAAAAATATTAAACATGTTGAGTATTTTATAGCATGTGAAAAAGATGTGTTCTAATAGATTAATGAGGATTAAGAGCTGGATACAACTGAATGTTTTAATAGTTGCCATCTACTCCCCAAATTTAACCCCTCACACTTATACATACTCACACCTAAGTTTCCTTAGCGCCTGCAAGCTCTTAAGGACGAGAGTCTATCATGTTCTTGCTGTGTCTTGCTGTGTTCTTGCTGTGTCAACCAATTTTTAAAATTGACGATCCTCAATATTAATAAACTAGGTTATCTTTAAAAAAGATTTTTAATGCTAAGATTCTGTTACTCTATAAGCTCCTGTTAAAAATACACATTTAGTTTAGGTATCATTTTAGAGGATGAGGTTAAGCAAAGAAAGGTTACATTTATGATTATTTTTGGCAAACATAGTTTAATATGGACCATGTTTTAAGACTTTTACATGTATTAGTTTATTTAATAATATACACATATATTCATACACTTGTAATCTAGATTCAATAAAATAAACTTTTGAACAGTTATTCAAATCAACTAAATAGCTCCTATGTGCTAGGTCCTATGGCAGAGGCAGCTCGGGATCCTGAAATGAAGACACAGCTCCTGTCCTCAAGCAGCTTAATTTAGTTCAATGGTGTGAAAAGTATGACGGGTATCAGCAGTACCATCACCATCTTGGAAATCTGTTGGAAATGCAAATCCCCGTGCCCCTACTCAAAACCTCGTAAGTCAGAAACTTGAAGGTAGAGGGCCCAGCAGAGTTTTTTTACAAGCTCTACAGGTGACTCTAATGCTCACTCAATTTTGAGAACTATTGACTTAATGGGATATGTTTACTCATATTCATTCAGCACACACTTTCTGTTCTTATACTTTGTACCAGGCACTGCGCTAGGTGCTGAGAAGACAAAGATATGAGACACTGTGTCAAGGGGCTGATGAAACAAGTGTCTTATGAGATGGGTTTTACAGGAAAGCCAGTAGGTAGTTTATGTAAGTGCATCTTTATGATAATCTGTTGTAAAAGGAATGAGAAATGACAATAAAAATATAATCATTATTTTTATGGTACTGAAGGTAGTTTTTTGAAACTCAAAGCAGAACTGTGGTTCTAAATAGCTAAAAACACAGGTCCAAAATGTGAAGTGTTTTTTGTTACATTCACTTTGAAGCTCTTTATGCGTGAATGTATTTTTGACGATGGTAAAATATTTGTAACATAAATATCTTAAATATTACACCACGAACAAGAGGAATCAATACCTAAAGTTCTCAGTACACATTTTATGATTCATTCAATATTTACTGAGCACCTACCAAGTGCAAGCACTGTGCATGCCAGTGACCGTGGGGGATTCAAAGGAAATGTCTGGCCCTAACCTAGATAAGCTCATAAGCTAATAAGGTGATGATGCCAGGTAAGGTGGTGTTAGTTTCTCTCAGCTGTGTTCTTAACTATAGGTGCCAAATAAAAATATAAACAAATAAAACCCCATGATCTTTGAGTGAAGGGAAACGTCTCATAATATTGAACTTAAAAATTTATGGTTACTATATAATACTCCTGAATACTGTAGCAGGAATAAACTTCAGTCTACAAACTCCAATGTGTAAGAAATAGAATTTTTTTCTGTAACTGAGCTTTATTACTATTTTAAGCCCCCACTTGGCTGCAGTAACAATAATCTTATCAATGGAGGCTGAAACCCTTCGTCAGGGATGGGTCCAGGGAAGGAACTTCTGAAGTGCCAAAATGAGAAGCAGGAGACACCAGATCTTTGCATCACTGGTCCCCACAAGGATTCTAAGATGTTCTTTGTCCACTCTGGTGTTGGTTTTCAGGCTTTTGATTTCAGTCCTGACAGGCCTGGCCCTTCCAATCATGGTGACTGGCTGGCTTGAGGGTCGAAGACATCTGTGGCTTCCTGCGATGTGGCAGAAATCTCTGTGAGGAGGCCCTTCTGCCTAGACATATTCGAAACATCACCTCAGAACTTGTTAGAAATGCAAATTCTTCCTCGCCCCAAATTACTACCCTCAGAAATGCTGATTAAAATAGTCAGCAGGCTCCACTCTACAAAGCTCTGCCCAGGATGGAGTGGGGGCAGGCATTCCCAGTCTCACCCTCCCTTGGAGAGAGAGGAACATTAGAATGTTATTTTACTTCCTCCTCTCTGAATCTTGATTTTTTTCTCTCTGCCTCAGAGGACACTTCCTCTATACTGAGGTCTTAGCTTCAGAGGCACTTAAAATTTTTTTAATGAATTTAAACTGGAAAGTACTGTGAGGAAAACGCACAGGTCTTACCTGCCACAAAACATTTTTGCTGATGAAGAGTTCAGGGTTTCGGTTTAGGTGACTGGTCCAGAAAACCAAATGGAGAAAAGAACACAGTAAGGACGTGTAACCACATTTTCATACTCTTCAATGCAAGTTTTTTTCCCCACCACCACCACCACCACCACCCTGCCACTTCTGTCCTTTGATGACAGTTAGTAGGTTACAATCTCACAGCAATGTGAGGCAGTGTTATAATTTCCATTTCACAGGGGAAGAAACTAAAGTGGGGAGACATGAACTACTTCTAAAAACTAGCTACTAGTTATTAACCACCTACTCTGTGACAAACATATAATCTCTACCTCTTGGATAAATCTTCACAGGTGTTAGCAGAGCATTTTTCTGATGAGAAAACTGAGATAGAGTGGCTTGAGTAAGTCACCCAAGGTCTTGGTGCAGAACAAAATCTGAACTGAGGTCTAACTTTCAAGGCTCTGTCCAAAACAGCTGCTTTTACCACTAAAACAATGTGCCTTCTGGTAATGTTATGGAAAAAATCTCAAAAGCTCCAAAAATCAGATCAGCGAAAATCCAAGCAGTAACCAGAGAGAAAGAGAAGTGTTTTATTGCACTGGCGGTCCCAGAAGAACTAGTGGTCTGAAAATCTGGGCCCAGAGCTTAGGGGCAATTTCACTTTTATACCCGTGTTGTTACAGTTGGCATGGGCTGATTTACAGACCCCTGAAATTGCTATGGGCTACGGGCAGTTACAGAGCATGGGATTTTCTAACAAGTACTAAAGCAATACATCTTTCCTAACTAGCACCAAAGCAATACATCTTAAAGGTTGGGGATACGTGTCTAAACACTAAAAGCAATATATCTTAAGGGGAGAGTGAGTTCTCAGTTGACCTGGAGATCTTTGGCCTATGCAGCAAGCATGTTTACAGAAGCAGAAAAAAAAAGAACTGATTAGAAATGTTGGCCAATTAAGTGGGAAAGTCCTCTTCAGTAAAGGACATGGGGACAATAATATTAGTTATACTAATTTCACTACTGTCATGAAAATCAAATCAGATTTTGGATATGGAATATCATGATGCTAATACCATGAAGTTAATACACTTAACTCCAAATTAGGACATGCAAATACCTGCCTCAAATCAGTTCTAAAATTGTTCAATTTTGGGCAAGTTAATTTCCTTCAGATCAGCTTTCTTACCACTAAATGAAAGAAGTGGACTGAGTAACATTTTAAGTTTCTCCCCAACTCTGAAATTCAATGTCTAAAGTATTATATACAGAAATTAAGAAAAATTGCAAAACACCTCTCAACTTTATCCTGTGAATAGCATCTCATTTATTTTCCAATTATCTTTCAAAGTTTGTCTTTCTGGCATCCTCAGTTGTTCACATTTTTATAGACACTGCACTAATTTCCAACAAAACGATATATCATAGAAGATGCAAACCGTAAGCATTTAGAACTGTCAGCAATTTAAGTTTTAAATGTGCAAAATAGTTTGGGATGTATATCTCCTCCACAAAGATGAAACAGAAGTAGAAAAGATTTCTTAGAAAATTATTAGTAATTAGAGATCATAATCAACACCTCCAGGTTTTTTTTTAAAATCTAAAACTATTATTCCTTGTAGCTATAAGTGCAGAGAAAATGTATTTGAATGTCCGTCTTGCTACTTCCTTTCGCTGACCTTGAGCAAATTACCCTATGCCTGTTTCCTCACCTGGAAAATAAGCATTCTAGTAATGTATACCTCATAGGGTCATTCTGAGGAATGAGATAATCCGTACAAAATGCATTACCTGGCACACAGTAAATTTCTAACAAACGTTTGACCGTTGTCACCCGCGTTCTGTCGGTTATTTTCATATGTGAAGTTAATTCGTAGTATTTCAGGGAACGAGTACTTGAGTGCCTACTATGTGCGAGGCACTGAGAAGCAAAGTCCCTGGCCTTACATCGTATTAAATGAGGATTAGGAAACAAACGATAAACAGATTAAAAAGGGAAGACCTAGAGTTTCAGACGCGACAAGCGCCATACTTAAGGTAACGTCTATCTGCCTTCCCCGCCTCTTTCCCGCGAGGCCGACCGGGAATCCCTTCGGCCTCTGCCGCTGCACGTCACAGGAGGCGCGACCAATCGCGGTCGGCTCTGTGAATTTCGCGTTTCTCTTTCTTCCTGCCAGATTTGAAATGCCACTCGTTCCCTTGGCAGACACCCCCATCACTTCTTCCGCTTCGGGGGATAGTGCCCCGCGAGAGGCAGCCGGACCTCACCTAGGCAGCTAGGCGAGGCAGAGGATAAGCGCGGCGCGCACCCAGAGTGACGACACGCCCGAGTCCCCGCCCTTTACGTCATTTCCTGGGCGCTCCCTTCGCGGAGCCTTGTGGGTAGCCGGCCCGGGTCTCCTGGCGACGACGATGGCGGGGGATGTGGGCGGTCGCAACTGTACGGATTCGGAGCTGCTGCTGCACCCGGAGCTGCTGTCCCAGGAGTTCCTTCTCCTCACGCTGGAGCAGGTCGGGCGCGCCGGAGCGGGTGGGCCTGCTTGGGAGAGGTGCTCAGGCCGGAGTCTGCACCAAGTATCCTCAGTGGCGGCGGACACACCCGCCGGCGTCGCTCCTCCGGTTGGGTTTGCGCTACTTTCCATCCCGCACAGATACCCACCAGGTCTCCTCAGGCCCCCATCCGGAAAAGAGACATCTTTGGCATATCAAGAATTCCTGGGAATTAGGACTTATCTTTTTCGGTTCTTGGTGGCTGGGAAAGAGGAGTCCTAGGCGACCCCCACGGCTCGTATGTAAGCAAGGGCCTGAGCGAAAGAGAGACTGGGGGAGGAATCGTAGAAGAATGGAAATGAAGGGAGATAATGAGGGACTGTCAAGGCTGGAAAGCATCGGAGAAATAGCCCATTCTCCATACTTGTTTAAAGATTCGGAAACAGAGTCCTAAGAGAGGTGAAGTGACTTATTTAAGGTCACACCATGTGTAAATGCGGTAAATGATGCAGCTAGGAGGAGAATTCCGGGCTCCTGGCTCTCAATGTAGCATTTGCTCTTTTTCAGCTAACGTGGCATTTGAGAGTAGATGAAAAATAAGATAAAAAAGTGATAGATTTTGTTTAAGGTGGTAGAGAATTCTGAACGTTTCCCTGGGTTTTTATGTAGCATATTGTTGTTTTATGTTTTCACTTCAATACTGTACTCTGTGATTCCTTCAATCCCTCCTGCTAAGTGATGTCAGCTGCCTTTCACCTGTGGTGGCCAAACTTTTTAGGTATATCACTCCAGGGTTTATTAAAGCACAGGTTGCTAGCCTCCATCCCCAGAGTTTCTGATTTTGTAGATAAGGAGTGTGGCCTGAAATTTTGCATTTTTAACAAGTTCTTGCTGCTGGTCCAGGGCCTAGCCACAGTTTGAGCACCTCTGCCCTGGAGCAGTTTTTCCCAAACTAACTGCCTTTGAATTCTCTGGGAATGTGGTTCAAGTGAACCCCAGGGCTTCCACATACCTCTGAGTGAGTACAGGGTGAAAATTGATAATAAAGAATTGCCTGTTGTAAGAGAGAAAAGTAAATTTTGTGCTTTCAAGTTTTAGAGGGAAATAAAGGAATTAGGATAAATTTATCACAGGACATAGATTGGATTTGTTTTGTCAGTTCTACTGAACACAAATGTTTCCAGGCCTTTCTGAACGGCAGTCGAAGAGTCCAAGATCTCATTTCCATCTTCATAAACCTAAATCCAAGTTATATGTCTTCCATGATGTTGAGAACGGATTGGAAAATGAAGGAGAATGAGATGATTTAGGTAGGAGTGGTTGGGTAATGACTGGAAGCTACTTGAAAGAATTGGTGAAAACAGGAGCAGATTCTAATGATGTGTTAATCAGTACAGTCATTGGTCAGGGGACTGCAGTTTCCATTCATAGGGCCATTTGAAATCTTGGTAGTTATCTTCCATTTAAGAAGGAGTAGTAAATAAACGAGAAATAATATGCAGAGTCCCACCTTCACCCCACTAATCTGATCACGATAGAAACACTAGATAACTTTTTTTTTTTTGACAGAATGTACTAATTGTTATCATTTTTAGCTTTCTCTTGTCTGATTTCTTCAGGCAGTCCCCCATTTTCAGTTCCTTTCATAGATTAAGATGATGCTACTGGAAATAACTCTTATTGCTTGGTATGTTGGCTAAGCAGTTGTGGATAGCAGTCCTTGTCACACTGAGGACATGGCCAATTGTCTTTAAGATGAGGCTGAAACTACTATTTACAAGATTAACCTATTTATAATACTGCTCCTTGCAGCATTATATAGGACCCTTACGCATATGTCTAATTGTGAAATTGGTTTTATAATTTGTTATTCAAGCAGCAGTGTTTTGCATTGTTAGGTAAGTAGTTGGTCGGTTATTAATATGAAGGATGTTGTTTTGAAATTACCTTTTCTTTTTCTGCAGAAGAACATAGCTGTCGAAAATGACGTAAGAATAAACAAAGACAATCTTACTGATCTTTATGTTCAGCATGCAATACCATTGCCTCAGAGAGACTTGCCAAAGAATAGATGGGGGAAAATGATGGAAAAGAAAAGAGAACAACAGGAGCTAAAAAACGAAACTAGAAGGTACGTTTCAGTGGTTCTGGTTTGCATCTTAAATGACTCAACAATTTTGCTTTTCTTTTTTGTCCCCCAGGTCAACTTAGGTTAAAAAAAATTATTTACTTAACAACTATTTATTGAGTCTAGATACTGTATGTATGACATGAATAAAACAAAAAATTCTCTGCTCATATTTTAAATGGACAAAACATAATTTAAAAAGTTAAGTAAAATACGTGGTAAGTTACATGGTGACATGCTAAGGAAGAAATATTACAGTTTTAGGTAAAGTGGCCATGAACAACCTCACTGAGAAATTTTAGTAGAGAGACCTCTAGAAAGTAGAGAGCAAGCTAGCATTCCAGGTAGAATATAAGAACCTGAATCAGGAGTGTGCCCGTTGTATGCCAGGAACAACAAAGAGGCCATCAGAGCAGGAGTGGAGAGAATCCAGAGAGCAGAGGGAAGGTTTGTTGGGGGTGAGTAGAAGAGATTGTCAGATCCTGTGTAAAGCTCTTTAAGTCAATGTGAGAACTTTGGCTTTACTTTTGAGCTAAGAAACTACTCTGGAGGATTTTGAGGAGAGTGATGACACCACCTGAGGTACATTTTAACAAGATCACACTGGCTGCTGTACTGAGAAGTGATTTAAGGTGGGGGAAGGAGAACAGGGAAACCAATTAGGAGGTTGTGCTATAATCTAGGCAGTAGTAGGTGGGTTGGCTTTGACTAAGGTAGTAGTGGACTTGGTAAGAAATGGATGAGTCTGATGTATTTTGGAGGTAGAGCCAACAAGATAGGCTAAAGTGTGAGAAAAAAGTGGAGTCAAGTAAGACCCTTCAGATCACTTTTTTTCTTCTTTTTTTTTTTTTTTTTGGCATGTGGACACAGTTTTTTGTGTTTTTGTGGGGTTTTTTTTACATTTATTTATTTAACATTTTATTTATTTTTCCCCCTCCCCACTCCCCTCTAGTAACCACTAGTCCATTGTCCATGTAGCTCTGTCCTGTTCATTTGTTGCTTTTAAGTTTATATCCCACATATAAATGATATCATGTGATTTTCCACATTTTCTGTCTGGCTTATTTCGCTTACTATGATTATTTCAAGGTCCATCCATGTCGCAAATGGCAGTATTTCATCTCTTATGGCTGAATAATATTCCATTGTATATATGTACCACAGCTTCTTAGGCCAATCATCTATCGTAGGACACTTCAGTTGCTTCCATGTCCTGGCCACTGTGAATAATGCTGCTATGAACATCAGTGTGCAAATATCTTTTTGGATATGAGTTTTCAAGTCTTTGGGGTAAATACCAAGTAGAAGAATTGCTGGATCATATGGTAGATCAATTCTTAGTTTTTTGAGGAACCTCCATACTGTTTTCTGTAGTGGCTGGACCAAT